CCCGGGGGGGGGGGGGCAGTTCCCACTTTGGTAACTTCTGTTTTAAACCACAGTTCTTCAAATGGTGTTCAGATGTAAGAACACAAATAAGCTTCCATTTGTCAAGAGAAATTGTTTGGGGGGGGGGGGGGGGAATTTCGAGAAGACAGTTTTGGTAAAATATTATAGAAGTGTGGGTTTTGGAATGATTCCCATTAACATGATTAGTGCAAAGGCCATGCATAGTTCATCTTTCCATTATCTGACTCTGGATCATGCACCTAAATTTGCACTGCACACTACAATATATTGCTGTGCATACAAATTGATCTGTGTTACCATCAGTTCTACAAGTTTCATGTCAGAACTGGTTTCAAAAACTGTCATATCACTGATGTAGTCACTTTTTAATTCATCTAAATACTGGATATGTTTTTGTGTGTAAGACCACTGGTTGTAGATGGATATTCCACAGCTGCCAACTAACTGAGCAAAATTTGTTCCTACTGTATGAGATCATCAGATGTCTGTATTAGCTCGTGTTTTATAAACAAAGTCTCCCCTTAATCCTTATGCAAACAGCACCTTGAAGGAGATAGCAGTTTCTTCAATAGATGTCACACATGACCAGCGAGTTGTTGCATGTATAACATACAATAGCAAGTGCTATTCATTCCATCACACTATATGAGATCAGTGGAAGTTTGTTTCTACCTCTGTTTATGAAACAAAGCCTCCTCTTTATCCCTGCAAAAACAGCAGCTTTAAAGAGTCGACAGTTTCTTCAATAGATGTCACATAAGACCACCTTATCACTACGTGTACGCCATATGTGAAACTACAAAAGGGAGGTGGGCTACAGGTGCGTACTGTATATGGCACCACATTGAGATGTTAAATAAATTTGAAGCAATAAAAAATCTTTGTCTGGTATTATGTATAAGACTAACAACACAGCTTAAAACAGTAAACAACATTTTAATGTAGAACAGGTCCATACTCTGAAATTTAATACAGAAGAAACTCTCTGACACAGTGCTTACTAGGTTTGGAAAACATTAGTAACTGTTATGCAGAAGATAGTTATGTCTTACGAGAAGGGTCTGAGAAAGACAATGCAAATTCTGTCCTCTAAAACAGCCGTACAACATTTTTCTCCCTGTAACACTACTTTATTCATGTCATATCTCAAATCATAAAATAACAAGCTAATTATTTTGGAGTTTCACAGTAATTAACTGCTAAATTATTTCCCACAAATGTTTAAAGTGCCCAAACTCAGACAGTGCAACCAATGAAAAGTAAAAAGAAAACTGCAGTCATTTAATATTCCTGCTCTGAAATAGAAGCAGTCAGGTTCATTGTCATTCTTATCATCACTGATTCAATGGTGTAGCTGCTATCAACTGGAACAATCCAGACAGCATAGCAACAACAGCTGTATCATGTTCATTTAGCAGACCTGATGATGATTCATGAAACTCTGAACGGCTTGACAACTGATTCCATAGACGTTCTGGTGTGAGTGAGAGAGGAGTTTGAAGCAATCTGTACCAGTCCAGCTCCCAAGTCCCTGCCAACAACTGAATTCATAAAGTCAACATCAACAAGAAATGGTTTCATTGCGACTGAAAGGGAAATGCTACTGTTCAAGAAACAATCTGTACAAGGGACTTCGTTAACATGAAAAAACCCACTAAAATAAAAGTCCAATATAAAGTAGATTTCTGTGGGTCAACTCACTTGGTCAAACTGCCTGTGCCCCACATGGAACATAGTGTGCAGCAATTTGGTAAGAGCAGGTCGAGATGCAGTGGTCGGGACAAGGGGTGGAGTAGAAGGGGTCACTTCACCAGGTTCAAGGGCTCCCAGTTGTCCCAGCAACCACTGCCAACTGTGCTGCATGAATTGCCACATAACCTGCAAACAGCAAACACGCGTGCTTGCACAAATTGGAGAGAATAAGGGATAATGTAGTCAAAGGCCATTTCAAAATATTATATGAGGAGATGTGAAAAAAAAAAAAAACAGAAACCTTAATCAGAAAATTTGGTGTCCCAGGCAAAATTTGGATACCACAGAAAATAAATTCGATTCCCGGCGGTGCCCAAATATATAACTTGTGTTGGCAAGGCCATGGTCTAGGCAACACGGAGTTTTCCTCCAGGGGTTTCCGCAGTTTCTCCGTGGCATCCCAACAATTACTCCATTCACACACAGAAGAAGGCAATGGCAAACCACTTCTGGATCATCCGCCAAGAACGTATATGAACAGGTCCCAGTCCGAGAAAAGGATGGAAGGATCCTGTTCATATGGACCTGTCGTCAGACAGAACACTAAAAAAAAATACTGCTGCAGTAACCTGTATAATGATAAGCAGTGTGTCTGGATGTTAGGGCCAGAAACAACTACGTAATACCATAAATACAAGAATAATGCAAATGGAACCACTGCTCTGCTAAAAGCTGCCTGTATTACAAGTAATTCACATTGCTTCTCAGCATTCACTTTATTTCAAATGTGTCATCAACATCATGATGCCATATGGAAATGATTGATTAACTGGTCACATATCCAATTATTTGGCATGTCCAAGTCACTATGACCGGGAGCTGCAACATGTTTCACTGTATATTTTGAATCTTTTCTGCAAACATTTTTTACTTTCCTTTGTAAAGAAAAATAAGTTAATATACCTGCAGTATTATCACCCACTCATGTCCCACCTACATTTTCTGGTTAAGAGATTTTAGCACATTGTTAGTATGAAGACCACATCTTCAGTGGACACATCTTTCTTGAAGCCAAATTATTCATGGACCAACATGTTGTTAGTATGTGTATGATGACTTAACCTACTTATACATAACCTTCTCAAGTGCTTTGGAATAATTAGTTTACTTGATTGCTAATGTCAGCATAATTATTTAAAGCATTTTATATTAACCTAGAAGTAATCAGTTTATTACATGTTTATGTCAATTTAGATTTAGATTTGTTAAATTTTATGTAATTTTGTGTTAATTTTTTTACTTTAATTGGTTAATAGCTCAGTCAATAACTAATGTGTTGGTAGAAGCTGCATCTGGTAGTGAGGAGAACAGAAACAAAATTGTAAGATTTCCGGTTTTCACAGCCGTGAGTATGAAGATTTCTGGGTTGTTATGCCATGTAGTATGGTAGATGTTAACCAACGTTTCAGATTCATCACCCTGATCACAGAGGCAGTATGACCTCTGAAACGTCGGTAAACATCTACCAGACTACACAGCGCAACAACCCAGAAATCTTCATCCTTATTTTATCTTGACAACCATGATCAACACCTACTCCTTAGGTAATCCCTATAATTAAACATCTTTTAGTACATTTTCAAATCGATGCAGAGGAGAGAGCAGCAACCATCAGCATAGCCACAACCATCCAGCACGTAAGGATAATACACAGATTGGTTACAGCAATCATTGGAGGGGAACGGAAAAGTGGAAGATTCAGAACTGGAAACCATATCTTTGTCATAAAAATAATACTGGCACAAAAGACATCAACCATTACTGATTTGGGTGTGGGGTACATATTCCCCACGCACTCTCGAAGGGTTCACAAATCTGTCCTATAGAATATGTAAGTCAGATAACAATTCTTATCAACAAAAATTCACTTATATCAATATTTATTCATTTATAAATTCAGAGGAGACCAGGCATAGCAAAACAATGCAAATTAAATATGACATCCAATAAAGAATACTGAAAATCACACTCCACTGCAGAACTTACCTTGAGAGCTCGTTGGCCTGCTGCATTAAGCAACAGCCTGCTGACGAGTATCTCTGCTGTGTATGGTGATGCCTCCATGGTCACACAGTTACCATCCTGGCTTGAGATCTGTGCACTGTAAGTATTACCACAGTAAGGCTTTTGAAAATTATTATAAATTAGGCAGAGAGGAAGTAGTGGAGAAGCTGAAAATCACTGAAAGAATATTATATTAGGTTTTACAAAGAGTACATAACTTCTTACTGTTTTTACAAGCCTTAAAACATTATGATTTGCATTCAACAAGAAATCAAAACACTGTCTCACCACTCTACAGCCGCATGAATGAAAGCGTCAATCTTGCTGTTATGCTGCCCAGAGTGATCGAGGCTGCACAGTGCTTCTGCGAGTGCTGTAGCAGAAGTGTTCCCACCAGTAGCCAGCAACTGAGAGTACAAGGCTGCCACCACGAGCTGCAGCAACACCGAATTGGCCAAAGGATGAATATCTGCTGGTATGGCATCCTCAAGAACTGCTGCTGCTCGAAGCACCAAAGAAGGGAGACAGTCGGACAGCTGTATAAGGCAGTCCATTACAACATCTATACCCTGATCCAAGGAACAGCCTCCAGCAAAAGTGACTGACAAAGTCTCAACCACAGGAAACAGAACTGGCTCTAGTGGTGATATTACAGCTTCTAGCCAAGGGGGGCGACTCTGGTTCCATACCTGCAGGCAAAATATGTGGCTGCAATGCTGTTATATTTTAAGAAAGTTTAATATATTCTGACGATATGTCCATTTTCAGGCCACTACATTAAATGCTGCTAGCATGTCACCATCTCAAGACAATCATGTGATCACCACACTAGTAATGTTTATGGCAGAGAATTGACAACCATGAATGTGGCAGGAGAAGAGTATTGATGTTAACCATGTCAGCCTGGCTAACACTTTGAGAAACAATTTCTCAATTTTAACTGCATACCCTTTGTTATACGTGTGTGCTGTGTTGTGACTTGCAATTGTGAATCATAAAAAAATAAGTACAATGTATATACTCACTTGCCAGAATTTTCACATTTTACCTTGGGATCTGGCTAATATTCTCGATAAAATTCATGCACTGTGACTGGAATACAGATTAGTCTCTAATGGCATATGTTCATACAAAGCCCCATGTAAATCCATATATTTGTTCAGATGTGGACATATAACCACGCATGCATGCGCACACACATACAGAATACTCTAAGCCTCTTCTGATATAATGAAGAAATATGCTATGAACCAAGTATTTATGTGACTTCATAGCATTAATGGGACCTTGTGATTTACACATAGATGTACCAGAATGTCTGGATTTTCCACTAACAGGACTTCATTTGTATATCTTTCTTGTATTATTTACAGATAAGAGTCCTAGTTTAGTAACGTATCATATACATTTAACATGTTAGTGTACTGAAAACTAAAAAGTTCAAAGAAATACTTCATTATCAGTAATGTTGTTTGTTATGTTTTGTCTCTCTGCTTCTAGAAACAAACCATCACCATCCTTATCATCTCCATTGCTGAACATTTAGGGACCTGTTATGGCTATCACACAACAGCGCACATCCCCAAATTAAAATAAGACAGTTATCCTGTAAAAATAATCATGTAATGGAGAAGGTAGATGATAGTGGTTGCTTTGGAAGCAAGTTAAGGATAAAAATTAAAAAGGAATTAGAAGTAGCAGAATATTTTGTGAATGAACTAAGTTTCTGACTCAACAGACTGAAAATATATTAACATGAACCTGGGGAAGGAAGTCATGATGAAGAAGAAAAATTACTTCAACTGGAACAACATTAAACTAGCAGGTTTTACACTAGCAGAGTCAGTTACAATTTTGTTTTCAGATAAATATGAATTACATCTTCTCATCTTCATTGTTTGTCTACAACTGAGCCCATATTCTTGAAACAAAAAGTAATTTATGATTTTCCTCTGAAATAAATACTCCACACCAACGAGAAACTTCAAGTCACAAGCATTTACCTGTCGTCTATCAAGACAACAGCCCCAGGAATCAGAATTCTTTTCTAATACTGGAACTAGCACATGTGCCAGGTCATGTTGTGTTCCCACCACTGCCACAATGTAGACGAGTGATGAAATAATTACACTGGGTGGCAAATGCTGTTCTGAGACGTTGCCACCAAGAGAGCAATTGCCCCTGCCACCACACAGAAAGCCACCACATTGTTTTGCTTCACCTGAGAAATAAAATTCATCACATCACTCATTTGAGGCCTTGGAAGGTGCAGCTATGACGGCATAAGATTCAGTTAATTCAAAATTCAAAGTGTTTGTTCACATATTCAGTAATGCGTTAAAACTGCAGGAAGTACCATATGTTAACAGAAGAAACTAATGTATGGCAATATATCAGATTCAAAATTTTAAATGAACCAGAACTACAGAAAACAAAACAAATCCAAAAATAAATGTACTGGTTGTCAAATTTTACATTGGAATACCAAATACAGTAGTAATTCATAAAAGTAACTGAAATATTCTTTCAACTTTGATGTGTAATTTATAAAATGTTGAAGAAACACAGAATCATTAAATCATCAAATGTTAAAGACACAAGACAGATTAAATGTTAATAATGTTTTTTAACCCAGAATTTTGCCAAGCAGTTGTTATTTTTGATGCTAAAGTATTAAAAATTACCAAACTGAGTTGTCTTCCTGTAACATATCAAGTTTACGAAAACTGGATAACTAGTATATATAGTACCAACATTTGAATTTGAAATGAAATGGAAACACAAAAAAAAAAGTATGCTAATAGGATTCCAAAGAAGGTACTGTCCACAGACCAGGAGAAAAGCCCTGCGGAGGGGGGGGAGTCATTTTGGCGGTGGTGCAGGGGGGAATGTTTCTCATCAAGTGGAGTAGAGGGCTGCTATTGGTGGGAAGTGTGATACGTCAGAGTTTTACGCTACTACACACAGACTGAAAACATCAAGCCGTTAAGAGTAGCGTGTAGTGAGTGCACCTTTACTGTTTTCTGTGGGTGTTGTGATAATATTCTAGATTAAATCGCTGTGCCGCTGTGAGGTAATCTTAAAGCTGTACCCATTAGAATACACGAAAGCCCGTTGTCTGTTGTTCGTTCAGTGGTTGTCGAATGAATGCTTTTAGAATGGGTCATCACTTACTGTGAAATCTTGCGCATGCGCGTATATCGAATTCATAGCAGGGCTTTTCTCCTAGTCTGTGAACTGTACTATGTTTGAATCAAACGCAAGCAAATCAGGGAGAATACTCCACCTTTCTGTTCTTGGGTATCCTTCGCATCCTTCACGTTATGACATGCAGGTTGAATGGTCACATTCCAAAAATGTTGCATGAAATGTTGTAAAATTATGCATGTAACTCTGTAGTGACGCATTGTGAGAACCTACAACAAATTGCAATAAAATTCATATAAAAGCCGCTGACTCTAAATTGATGCCACATATAGAACTATACTCGATATGGTTACCTTGAAGACAAAAGAGTATAACAACAGCACAACATTCGAAGGCATGTCGTCAAAACGGAATATACAAAACCATCAGACCATATTTAGAAAGAGCAGATTTGCTACCCAACATGTGGAAGAATGTACTACTGCCCACAAACTGAGAGATGACATGGCAGATCTGACGGGTAAACAGGTGCCCTTGAGCATTCTACTGCTATTTCAGTGTAACAATAGCTTTTGCATGAGTTGTACAGAAAATACGCTTATTTTGTCATACCAGCACTTACAGCTGTTTTGGCATGTACAGGTAGTGGTGGGTGGTTCAGTAAAACTTGCCTTGCCATCTCTCAATCTGTGAAGAATACTTGGTTGTACTGTAAACATAAGAAATGGTAGATGTAATTTTCAGATTTTCTAAATGACTCACAATAAGAAAAAACATAAAACATTGAAAATATATTAAAAATATTTTAATATATTTTTAATACTATATAAATCACAATATGACGCATCTACAATATCTTATAAAACATTGAATAAATATACGTGATTTTCACACTGAAATTAAAAAAGAAATACTCTTTACTATTGATGGATTTAAAATTTATATTAAGGAAGAACTTAGTCACCTTGAGAAGAAGTGGCCAGGAAGCCTGCGGCTGTGCAACAAGCAATGACAGTTCCAGTGCAATGGCAGATCCATCAGGTAGGTTGCTGTTGGTACTCTGATGGACAGGAAACAAGTGAGGAGATGTTAGAACTAACCATGGAGCAGGAGCTGAACTGTCCAATGGAGAGAAGATAGCAACCTCATTCAATCCTCGGCGAAACACCTTGAACAGTACAAGACGCAGATTCAGTTCCTTGTATACGTCTCTTGATTTCTGCGATAAAAGTTTCAGGTTTAAGACCAGACTGCATACCTTTTACCTTGTCTTATCTGACAAATTAAAACTTTACAAATGTGAGGAAGATAAGGCCCTTATTACGGTTAATAGTTTACATTAAGCTGGAGGTACCCTCTGCTGCCTATCATCCTAATCACGCCCTTGAGGTAGTGCAGTCTATCTGATAGGAGTTCAAATTTTCGAAATTAATATTCCAAAATTTCTGAGGCAGAGGTCAGGAAATTCTTGTAAGCTATAACTGAGATGATTAGCCACATATACTTTTGAACACTGTCTTGATTGGATAAAACGTTTTGAAGTAATAAAGTCAATTGAACTTGCTTTAGACATAGTTCAACGGCAAGCTCCCGTGGTAACAGTAACAAATGTTTGAGCTTCGTAACAGCCGACTACCAATATCTGTTAACCATTTACATTGGAATATTGAGTCAGACTTTTTACACAAGACAGTGGGCATTAACTTGTCACAATCAGAAGGTATAACAATCTTAATCCTCCAACTTTCATGCCACTGCCTTACTGATCATGTAGCAATATATTTTTTTGACGTAAATACGTCTATAAGGAAGGGTCATTCAGCAAAAAAGAGGAATGAAAAAGGGAAAGGAAAAAGTGTAACCTGGTTGCCTAGGAAACGTCGTGTTTACTCAGCATTGTTGTTACCTAGGAAACGTTACATTACATTACTCGGCATTGTTGTTACCTAGGAAACGTCATCTGTTTACTCGGCATTATTGGTACCTATAAAACATTACATTACTTACATTACTTTACATTACATTCAGCTACCACAGACCCATCTTAAGCGTAACTAATTCAAGTTAAATAAGCAATGTCTTAATCAAACTTTACTCAATTGTAAAGCATGTATAAAGGAAATATTTAGAATAAAGCCAATATATAAACTTCCTTTCCGTATAGACGTATTTACGTCAAATTCTCCGGAACTGTGGTTCCTCTATCACTTTTTCTTCTTGTGAAATAGCTGCATATGCAATAGTAATGTTCTACTTTCCTTCTGCAGGACATTCACACTGAAAATTTACATGGCCACTCCAGACACAGCAGTGTTCTGTTCATATGCCAACACTAGGGGTTAAAACAATGTACCACAGAGTGAGGTTTATATTTAAGTGTAATGGACTCCATTTAATTATTCCACAGCTATATTGTGAATCATTACCTTGTAGAGTGCAGAGAGAGGACTTCCTCGAAGGATAAGACAGACCAAGAGCTCATAACACTTTGCATGCACGTCACGCAAGACTTTGTTCCGGAGATTGCGCCCTATTAACTCAGAGGCATCACTGCATATTGATGGTAGTATCTGTCGCACACACAGCAGTAGATTGCTGACATCTGTCACTAACAGGAGGCTGCGTCCACTGCTTGGTATTGCCTGGCAAAGCAGAAATAACAAGAATAGAAAGGTGTCTTATAATAGTACACAAAGTTTTATGAACAGGGCAAATGCAGGGCTATTCAAAAAGATTGTCGGGGTTTTGTGAATTTTTGTGGGGCAATACATTAAACATACGACTATTATCATTACACTGGTGGATAGAGAAACTCTCAAAGTTTTGTTCTGTACCGCCCGCCATCCAGTAGTTACGCGTTTGGCCGCCAGGTGTCAGCTTTTGCAATATGGCGGCTGATGGTAAGAAGAAGGCTTTTTGTACTCTCGAATATCATCAAAGTCGGTCCGTTACCATTGTCCAACGGCACTTTCACACAAAATTTGGGAAGGATCAAGTCTTTGTCCTCCCTCTACCTGCGACTATCCCGGATCTGAAGGTACATATCAGAGCCGCTATTCTGAACATCACCGCTGACACGCTGGGGCGTGTGTGGGAAGAAATGGACTATCGTGTAGATGTCTGCAGATTGACAGAAGGCGCACATATTGAGCATTTATAATGCATGTAAAAAAACTTTGAGAGTTTTGCTACACAACAAAACAAGATTGGTATTCCTACCTCAATTGTACTACGTGTAGTGATTTTTTAAAACCCCAACAATCTGTTTGAATAGCCCTGTATTTGGTGACGAGTACAAATTACGAAACTTCCCATTATTAAATTTTCTCCAGCCTCTTGTTACTTTGTTCCTTTTAGTTGTAAATATAGTCCAAAGCACTCATAGCTTCACATTTTAGCAGATGATATTGATGGTTAGGAAGCTAGGTAGATCCCAGAGCCATTTTGGATGTGGCGGAAAAGAGAAAAATTCCCAGCTCTCTTTCCGCGAGTCTCCAGCCTTTAATGATTAAGCCGTCAACAAATATTTAACTGTACAAAATATGCTTGACTTTGCTTAATCAACATCTATCTCTATTATGATTATACCTGAGTATAGCGAACTGTCAGAATTGTTAAGGATTCATTCAACATTCCAGCCAAGACCCTCTGAGCCATCTTAGGAGGCACTGTTTTCCATAAATCTTCTCTTGTACCTGAAACATTAGAAGATAGAAAAGTTCTTGAAACTTTCACTATCACACACAACAAACAGCAACCACGACTGACTCAAACTGGACACAAAAGTTAGCTCTGAATGAAGTGAAAAAAATGACAAATTAGGACTGTATTTTAGAAAACATTTCCAACCACATCCTTGCCAATGAGGCAGGTTCCGCTACACTTACAAAAATCCAGTCTGGCTGATGTTTTGCATGTGACATATACAGGTTAAGTGACGTCACATGACTAAGATGGTGACGCTATGTCTATTTTTAGCCGAGTTATTGAAATTTGCAATTACTTCGACAGAAACTGTCGCTCATTTGGGCGCGATTGCCTCCCCACACCCGGCATCGATTTTAAAGACGTTTTCACGTCAAAAAGACAGTACGACAAAAGAACACAGATCCCTCATATATCAAAGGCACAGGTTCATAGCTTGAAAGAACAGCAAGGACTTCAAAGAAGTTATTACCTTGCATATATAACCACCACATCTGAATAACAAAAGACCCACGCTCTCCTTCAAAAAAGGGGTGGGGATCTTCCCAATGAAGGCAGTCAGCATCTTGAAGCACATACAGTGAAAGCAGGCGACAATGGAGATCCAGCAACCTCTCAGCCAGAGCTTCTGCCATCTCATGGTACTTGCGGTAACTCCCTTGAAGTGACAACCTGAAACAAGGGAAACGTCATCATCATACCAGGTACTACAAATGCACTAACTGCCTGATGTGTTATATAAGAGAGGTGTAAGGAGCGATGAAGTGTGTCCACTGTCACCCTCAAACTTCTTACATGATGAGGCTCCTTTGGTAGTGCAGCCATTATATTGGTGATGGAGAAAATATTGGCAGACATGGGATACAAGGAACATAACCACTGGTCTAGCCACCTACTCTTATGTCTATGATGGTCCACAGCTTTTAAGGTAATACATAAATGAACTGGAATATTATACTATTAGAAATACAATTACTGCAGTATTTTCACATTACTGTATATGCAGAAAAACTGTTTGTGGCTACATAAATGAGATTGAAATTGTTTAAGATAGAGTCAAATGGTGGGCATGCTGATAGGCGTTGAAGTTCCACAAGAGAAAATTTGTCCATCAGCTGAATAACAATAACTCCTCGAGGAAGACTCTGTGTAATGAAGTTATGAGTTAATAAATGAGAAACAGAATAGAAGAACAGGAGAGGCACTTACATGGCAGTTTGTTTGGACTGTGTCTGCTCTTTATTCTTAAGTTTTTCATTGTAGCACCACAAGCAGTTCCTGATGAGGGCAGCTGCTCCCAGAGTCCCAGTCAACACAGTGAGGTCAGCATGGTCAAGGGCTTCCTGGCTGAGGGTATGCAAGTGTTCCAACAACTGCTTTGATGAATCAGCAACAAGACTCACAAACTCAGTTGGCACCGATGTCTTGGTCACAGCAATGCCTCCACAACCTCGATCTAAATCTTCAGATTCTCGTTGCCCCATGGGATCATCACTTGAATGTTCCAATAAACCAGATGCACAGTGAAATGTTGCCACATACTCCTCTTCCCACCATGCCACCTGCACCAACACAGTTTTAAACATGGAAGATTATTACAAGATTTCTGTCTTCTGGGTTTTTGCGCTGTGTAGTCTGGTCGACGTTAACCAACGTTTCAGAGGTCATACTGCCTTTGTCATCATCGCCCTGATGACGGAGGCAGTATGACCTCTGAAACGTTGGTAAACATCGACCAGACTACACAGCGCAACAACCCAGAAATCTTCATACTCACCGCTGTGAAAACCTCAAATCTTACAACAGCCAGATTTGAACTCTTGGGTTATCAGTTTAGCATAAGTCAGTGCAACATACAGCCAGTAATTCAGGTGGATTGTGAGTAAGCAGAGAAGCACAGTCAATAAAAGTTCATTCTGATCCATCAACTATATTAACATGGCGGCAGTAACATTCAATGAATGGTCTTGGAACTGTGTACAGTGGTACACTTCAGAGCTTCCAAACCCAGTTAATATAAAGCAACCCTAAATAGACTGAACACAATAAACATACCAACTTGACAGCAGCAAAAGAGGCATAGTGTGGGAAATCTAACAGTCCTCCCACAACGCCTGGACATAGATTTTCTTGCAGAACTGTCTGGTGAGCCTGGTAATAGGCCATATCACGCTGCAATAGGATTCGAACACGATCCATCATGTTTCCCTCTTCCATAATCTCCATATTTAAAATTGTTCCTTCTCAGCTGATTAAAATGGTTCACTCTAAACAAAAGGCAGTGAAGCTACTCCCTTCAGATAATGAAGAATGTGAATTATGCCAAAAAATAAACTGTATCACAGAGTACCTGTAGAAAAGAAAGAACTCAAGATAAATACTCAGGGGTTAGTGTGTTGAAAGTAATAGCACAACGCATAAGCAACGTTCAGCATGCAGCTCTAGACTTTGAGATATTTACTGGAAAATCAAGACATACCTCACACAGGACAATATAATTAAAAAACCATGAGGCAGGAGAGTAATTATAACTAAATTAACGGCGTTACATTGTACATATAAAAGCAGAACACTGAGGAAAAACCTTAATCTGACAAGTAATAAATTAATTAGAAGTACTGGACCTTCTACATATTTAATAGAAAAGTGGAATTTTCTATAGACTAACTAACTAGATGGCATACCGAACACGAAGGTTCATCACCGAATTAACCAAAGCCCTCCACTGGTCCCTGTCCTGGGCCAACAAAATCCAGTCTTCTTCAACTCCTATCTCCCATAGATCCCGCCTGACATTATCCTCCCATCTACGTCTAGGTCTCCCCAGTGGCCTCTTCCCCTCAGGCATTTTCTATAGACATGTGCCTAATATTTAATTAGCAAAACTCAGAGACAGTAATTCTTGTGCCAAAGTACTAGTAAAACTATTTTTGTCCCATTCACTGTAAGATGGATCAAAAGGAAGAAGTGTTAATGATTGAGTCTGGCATCTCCAGAACAGGGATTATCATGAATGCACAAAATCACGCTATTGTCACATTTACATATTCCATGATGTAGCTTGTACACATGGATTAACTGATTCTCTGGTTACTAAACAATATTTCTTCAATGTAGAATGTTAACCAGCAATGATTGTAAAGGCAGAAAGTTAAAAAAAGTCAACCTCAATTTACAATCGCAATTTCACTCCTACAAAGTGCACCCCTACCATTCCAGCTCTACCATGTTTCTATATCATTAATTACTCGTATTATCAACATGGGTTGCTGCGCAGTGTAGCCTGGCAGAAGTTTACTGACATTTCAGAGGTGCTTGCTGCCTCCATCATTCTAATTACTTGGTTCTGAGTGTTATTTAGAAAACCTGTATGAAGTGCAAAACTATTTACGCAATGTAAAATGATTACAGAAAATACATCACGATGGAAAAGGTAGCAATTGTTATAAATTTCGCAATACTATCATGGCATTCACCTGGAAGAACAGAGGAAAACCATGAACATACCCAAACAAAACAACAAGAATACCAACTGAGGCTCAAACCAACTACCTTAAGAATAAAAATCAGACAAACTGGCCTACTTGGTACTTTATTAAACTATTCAGTTATTCATTATGACATTTAAAGGATGACATTTTCTAAGGATATTGGATTATCTTCCAAGCCTTGTATCAAAACTTTTATTTAGTATTGCATTGTATCACATTAAAGGGTGTCCTTCTGTATAGGTGACAGAAAATGATACAAAACATAAGTCAGTAGAAACCAGTAATTGGGAGAACGTACATTTATTGCAATAATAATTCAGCTATAATGACAATAAACCATAACATACAGTAGTCCTATTTATTGCTTCCGCTGTAGGCACAACGGAAGAAATCAACATCTTGATTCACAATACTGGGGATCTCCTGATTCAGCAGCTTATGTAATGAGATTCCATCGTGGCGATACACCCAGTGACCGTCGTGAAAGTCGTATCGTTTCGGTCCACTAATAGGAGATGACAACCAGATCTGTAAGTTTGGTGTCTGTCTGTTGATCACGTATGTACCATGGGGTATTCCGAACTTCACCGTTAATACACCATCCTGAAAACCATGTCTGTGTAGAAGTTTCTGCACTGTATAATTTGGCAAAATTCTATTAACTTTGATTTCAAGCAGCATAAATTTTTCAAACCCAATACACAGTTTCATCACAATTTTTATATATATATATATGACTATAATAAATATATTATTTAAAGAATATTCAGTGTTGACTCATGGAATGGCATTTTATAATCCTGCAGAAATATATCTACAAATAAATGTAGGCAGCACTATAAAGTAAATCCAATCAACTGAAATCCTCTGATTCGGCTCTGGTTAGCAGTATGACAAAGGACTCTCCTCTGACTTCCTAGCCAAAATATTAGGTGTCAACACTCTGTTTATATGTAATGCAGAATTTTATTTCCCACTTCCTTCAATGCTTCATCATCAGAACCCTACAGAACCCAATCAAAATAAATCTTAAGGATGTAGATAGTGAGGATGCAAAATGGCTAATAATCATATCCACTTGTTTATTTTGGCTTCAGAAGTGTTGAACATCTGGTTCTGTTACAAGAGAAACTTGGTCAAAAACTGAATGATAGACAGCAATTTAGAATGATATTACTGACAAAAGCATACCATTGTTACTTACACTGTATGATACATCAGCAGCCTTCAGGTTGACTGCTTCCTCGACCAATATTTCAAAATACTCTGCAAGTGATTCCAGAGTCTCGTCACACACTTGTTCATATGTAAGTGGTGTTAGTGGCCTTGAAGGGAAAGAAACAAGGCCTTTGCAGCGAATAAACTTCAAACAGGATTTCAGGCATCAAGAGTATGAATGCCTGGACATGACAGCCTCTAACTGTGCTCTGGTCATGAGCACCAGGCATTTCATACAACTGAAAGCTCCAACGTTATCAACTTTTAGGAAGAGAAACTACAAAATTCACAGTACAGTGGATTTCACTCTTCTCAGTACCAACTTTTAATCCACAGGCAAGACTCTCAAGATGTAAGCAGACAAACATCTTCATCCTAAACGCTCATATTCGATATCACATAATAATCTACGAAATGGACACAGTACAGTTAAATAATTATAAAGCTCAAAATAATATTGGTCCCACTACATTCAACATAACCTATAATTTCAAAAACAGAGTAATGAAACAGACTTTCATCCAAGAAAATAAATATTAAATCATAGTTTCATTCGGTGCACAATCAAACTTTTAAGCACAATACTAACCCCTTGACTGCACCATTGTGGCTACAGAAACGTATCTGTTTATAACCCTGCTTGCTCTCTCTTGCATTGGTTAGAATGCACCTTTCACGCTCTGCAAAAGTTGTATATCCACTAGCTATTGTGCTACATTTTACACGCCTTTCCAGCTTTACTACAGTACCTCTACGCCACACTCTATTGCAGAACCTTGGTAACATGACTAAACGAAAGTTTGATCAATAACGTCTTCACTTATTTTAACTGCCGCCATACTATCATCAATACTGGTTTCCAATCACAGATAATACCCACAATCGACCACGATACAGTAGTCGATAGATTTATGATGCGAGAATAATCAAAACTAGTGGTATGATAATTTTAGGACCCCGAAAATTCAAAACAACATCCAAACGGTTGAACATCAGGAAAAGATTCATTTGATTTTTTTACATTCTCTACACCTTAAACAAGAACAATAACCAGCTGTAACTTTAACACCACAAAGTTTACAGAACAGAATTGTTCCATCAGAACTAAAATATTACTCGCCGAAATCTTTAACGAAACCTCTTAACTTCGCACTTTCAGAACACTTCACTTTTAGCATCTTGAAGGATTCACTGTAAATGCCTGAGAAATGTGGTTTTAAGAAAGAATTTTATACCCAAAATATAACCAAAATATGAATTTTATCCTCAAAATATAACCAAAATATGCATTTAACTACAAATATGACCAAAAAAGACCTAAATATGCATTTATATGCGAAATAAAAACAGCATAATTGTGATCAGGGTAACCCAGTTATTGTTTAATTTCAGTTTAGAAACAAAATAGAAGCCCCAATAAAAATATGACATGTCATGAACATCCGAACCCTAGTGATAATACTAGAACGAGTTCGAACTATCCTGTAACTCGTGCTTCTTAACTGCCTACAGAACTACCTTCGTTGTGATTCGAAGCAGGGACTGTCAGAAAAATACAGGCCACGTTACTTTGATTTAATCAGCTCGTTGTGTGGTGAAACCCTCGATTCTTTCGCTTATACGTTTAGGAATGTATAGTTCAATTCACGTATGTGCTAAAAGTTCTCTCAAATGTACAATATGCAATCCATAGAGTAATGAAAGTCTATGTACAAGCAATGTATAAAATCTTGGTCAGCGAAATATATTAAACATATCAATGTCCTTGCAATCTCAGTGACCTTGAAAGTGTCATAATCATAAGATAAGAGTAGTCTATAATTATTCTAAGTACCCATGTACTGACAGAACCAAATATGAAAGAACAAATAATTTATTTTTAAAGGAAAAGAGTAGCTGGATGTTGCCACTTGGAATAAGCGTTTAAAGATTCAATTTTGTTAAAATTCCTTAATTACTACAACTTTTGCACAAAAATCACCAGATGGTCACTAGAATAATGTATTTTCCCACTAGGCCTGCTCGCGTTAATGTTTATCGTCACAAATGTGGCTGTAGTTGCGAGGAAAAAGTACATCCGACCGCAAATGTTTCACTGCGTGCAAGATAACTCAAGTTGAACTCGCAGTTCTCTTGCTCTGGCAAACAATGGATGCAGTTATTCGATTTGCTGTTATTATCGGTGGTGTTCTGTTCCTGAGCCTGGGATTGGAGGCTGGCCTGTTTAACGACGTAAGTACACAACTTATTTGCGGAAAGAACAACAGTTCCCCAAAAGCGGACGACGGAAGCAATAACATATCCAGGAATTTACTGACTTATTCTTCGCATAGGCTGTAAATATGATGTGGAGACAAGAAACAAATACAGAATTTTTGTTGCCAAACCTCTTTGAAATTATGTATAAAGTGAAGCTTCCGCGGAGACTTAAGTTGGCGAAAGACTCTCGGGTTCCAAACCGCGTCAGGTGGCTTAACGATGAATAAACCACATATTCTGCCTACGTTTCGAGAACAATATCTGCTGTCATCCTCAGGGCTGCTGCGCTACAAAGGATCAGATTTGTTACGCAGCAGTCCTGAGGATGAGAGCAGAGATTGTTCTCGAAACGTTGGCAGAAGATATGGTTTATTGACCATTCAGTCACCTGTCGCGGCTTGTAACCCGAGGGTCTCTTTGAAATTGTGACTGATTGGTTCTTAAGTTATTTAATGAATCCATTTCAAAATACACAGGTTATCTAACGTAGAATGAGATGGGATTTTTACTGTCGTGGTCGTAGACTCCAGCATTGCCTAAGGATACTGAGGAAAACTGTGGAAAGATAAGACAAGTTTACATATCCGGCCGGAAGTCGAATGGCATACCTGATAAAACAAGAGCTGGGGTATTTCAATCAGTATCGAAGCATTCTTCTTGTAGCCTCTGCGTCCAGACCAACTCTGGGACCCACCCAATCTCCTGTACAAAGGGAACTGGGAGCCATTTCCCCGGGGATAAAAAAACGACAGAATCGTGACCCTGACGACTCATCTCCATATAGTTTCGGGGTCAAGGAAGAGTATCAGATATACCTTCTGTTCTCCCAAAGCGCCTCCATTATGTAAGACTTGAGGTTCTCACAGCGGTGAGTATGAAGATTTCCGTCTTCTGGGTTGTTGCGCTGTGTAGTCTGGTCGATGTTAATCAACGTTTCAGGGGTCATACTGCCATCAGGGCGATGACGGAGGCAGTATGACCTCTGAAACGTTGGTTAACATCGACCAGACTACACAGCGCAACAACCCAGAAGACAGAAATCTTCATACTCATCGCCCTGATGATGGAGGCAGTATGACCTCTGAAACGTTGGT